CGCCCTTTGCAGAAGTCCAGCTTCTATGCATCATGGCCTCAGGGTCTTCTCCGCTCCTTGAGGAAGGCAAGCTAAGGTGCTTCAGGGCCTCAGTGTCACCCACCACCCTCAAGGGAAGGCCATGTTAGGTGCATCCAGCTGCAAGAGTCCCTTGCCGCCCCTTTGGGTAGTCCATCTTCATTGCATCTGAGCCTCAGAGTCCCCCTCTCCTCTTAGGGAAGTCTAGCTTTGGTGTATCTGGGCCTCAGAGTTCCTGGCTGCCCCTTGGAGAAGTCCAGCTTTGGTGCATACAGGTCTCAGCATCCCACTCTACCACTTGGGGAAGGCTAGGTTAGGTGCATCTTGGCCTCAGAGTCCCCTTTTGCCACTTGGGGGAGTCCAGCTTTGGTGCATCAAGGCCTCAGTGTTCCCTGCCTCCATCATAGGAAGGCCATGCTAGGTCCATTCAGCTGCAAGAGCCCCCCTCCGCCCCTTTGGGGAGTCTGCTTTGGTACATCCGGGCCTCAGAGTCCCCCTCCATATCTTGGAGAAGTCCAGCTTTAGTGCATCCAGGCCTCAGAGTCCCCCTCCGCTACTTATGAGGGTCTCAGTGTCCTCCGCCGCCATTAGGAGAAGGCCATGTTGGGTGCGTTCACCTGCAAGAGTTCCCCGTTGCCCCATTGGGGAGTCCAGCTTCAGTGCATCCAGACCTCAGAGTCCCCTTCAGCCACTTCGGGAAGTCCACTTAGGTCAGTCTGGGCCTGAGAGTCCCCCTCTGCCGGTTGGGGACATCCACTTAGGTGCATCTGGGCCTCAGAGTCCTCCACCGCCATCAGGGGAAAGCCATGTTAGGTGCATCCGGCTACAAGAGTCCCTTGCCGCCACTTGGGGACGTCCACTTAGGTGCATCCGACCCACATTGTCCCCAGCTACCATCTGTGGAAGGTGAGCTTAGGTGCACCTGGCTGCAAGAATCCCCAGCCTCCTCTTGGGGAAGTCCAGCTTTGGTGTAACAGGGCCTCAGAGTCGCCTAGAGTCACTTGAAGAAGTCCAGGTTTGGTTGATCCGACCCACAGAGTCCCCCACCAGCACTGGGTGATGTCCAGGTTAGGTGAGTCCAGCCCAGAGAGTACCCAGGCGCTGCCTGGTGAAGGCCTGCTTAGGAGCATCCCATCCTCAGAATCCCCAGCTTCCACTTGGGGAGGCCAGCTTTGGTGCATCTGGCTGCAAGGGTCCCCCACTGCCACTTGGGGAAGACCAGCTTAGGTGCATCCGGCCCACAGAGTCAACTGCTGTCACTTGGAGAAGTCCAGTGTAGGTGCATCTGCCCCACAAATTCAACCACCGTTGTCTAGGGTAATGCCAGGATAGGTGCATCTGGCACCCAGACTCCCTCCCCGCTATCTGGGGAATGCCAGTTTAGGTACCTCGCCTCCCCAGAGTACCCCCCTGCCTTCTGGGGAAGTCCAGCTTAGGTTTCTGGGCCTCCAGAGTCTCCCCCTGCTATCTAGGGGAAGGCCAGCTTAGGTGCCTTGGCCCCAGAGTCCCTCCCTGCCATCTGGGGAAGGCCAGTTTAGATGCCTTGGCCCCAGAGTCCCTCCCTGCCATCTGGGGAAGGCCAGTTTAGGTGCCTCTGGGCCTGGGGTTACTGGGTTAGCTCCTGACTCACCTACCTCCTTATGTCCAGTTTGGAATTTCATATCCGAAGCAGTGAACATTCCAATCTGCAGGCACCAATGTAAAGCCTGGGGTTCCTTGGTCTTAGCTTCTTGTTGCCCCAAGGCCTGCCATTATGTGGCCTCCACTGGCTTCTCTGGCTTCATGGTCTGACACAGCCCCTCTCCAGTGAGACACTCTGATTGCCACATCCCGAAGTCACCAGGCTGGCATGTCCTTCCCTCATGTCTCCACGTCCATCCCTCACCCTCCTACCTCCACTGCCCCCCATCTGCCCAGCAGGAGGCCCAATGGTTCAAGACTTACTGCGAAACCATCAGCTCCTTTGTGAAGTTTTCCCAGGTTAAGGTAACCACACCCTTTTTCTGTGACCTCACTGTGTCAGGTTTGGATGGCTACAGCAGCTCCTGCAGCACTTTGGGAACTTGGTCTGTTTTCGTGTCTTTTCCTTTGAAGACTTTTGGGTTTCAGGATGTGTGAGAGAGAGAGAGAAGGAGGTCATCACAGAGGGTTGCTAACTATTTTGCCAAGTAAAAGGGTGTTTTCCAAAACAACCCAACTCCTCTACATCCCCAATATTTCATTAAAGGTCATATTAACACAAAAAACAATAGGAAAGTCATGGCCTCAGAATTAAGGATGGTCTCTCCAAAGAAAGGAGTCTCCACCCCTTCTACATTTATCTGTGCACATGTTGGCCTCAGAGCTCTCATTGCTCTCAGGCCACAGGTGGGGACTGACTTTTGAGACCCTGTGTCCTAGAGAGTGAGCTCCAGTGGGGATTCCGGGTGGCCTGTGAGGTCACAGCTCCAGCAGAGAAGGTTTCCCTGGCAACCAGAATGTGAGGGATGCCCTTAAAATGCTGTACAGGCCTCTCCCCTTCTTGCCTCAGTTTAGGTTGTGAGTCTGTCGGGAAGCCACGGGGGCTAGTCCCCAGGAGACTCCTGCTGCAGTGTGTCCGTTTAAGTTAAACGGGGGATTTGTGTCCGTTTAAGTTAAACGGGGGATTTTCTCAGCTGCTAAATATCCCATTTGATTTTGGAGCCTCAGACTTAAGAGGTTCCTGGGCAGGGCCTGTTGGATCTGACCTGGCTTCCCCCACAGGGTCTGTGTGGGAGGAGGGCTCCTGACTCCCACCAACAACCAGGGAAGGCAGGATGGGAGTCGGTATCTGAAATCTAGTACTTGACTAGAGGTGCTCAGCTCTCAGTCCCAACACCACCACTCCCTTTTAGTCCCCTCCCACAATTTGATGTAACTATAAATGTCCCTCCCTTTTTTTTTTCAAAAGTGTTAGAGGGGAGAGGGAGAAAAAGGAAGGGACTATGTTCCCTTTTTATAATAAATATTTTGAAAGCTCCCTTTACTGTTCTGAAATAAAACCATATACATAACTTTGAAAAAAAAAGAAAAGAAAACTAATACAATAACCAAATGGGAATCTTTGTAGAATTTTAGTGGTGAATGGTATATTGTAGTACATTTGTTTTAAGATTTGACTTACTGAAGTTAAAGAATCTCTGATGAGAAAAATGGGAAAGCTAGGCTTTTCATTGCTTATGTAAAGTCTCATCTAAAGTACTTTTGAGAGTGATATTCTAAGAATCTAATCACTGAATCCCCCAGGGCATTTAAGTATTCCATTCCATCTTTGCTATACCAAAGGCAGGTTAAGCATAAACCTCTAACTTGATTGATAAGTCTAGGGATAGGGTTGTCTTCCCTTTTTATGCTGTGATTTTTAAAAATTATTATAATCAATTGGATGTACATCCCAGCTAAAGTCTGCTAACCAGGTAATATTTATCATTGATCAGAAAATAAGTTATGATTCTGTACACAGTTATTTGATTCAATTCAGTTTCATAAACAATAAAACTGAAGATCAGAGCAAAGACATTATTATCCTGTGTAACATTGCCATCATCCACCCGCTATTGCCAGAGCTGTCCTGGAGCCCAGCCTATCTGTGCCCAGAGATCTTCTTACCACCTAGTGCTATCTTTCTTCCTTATTATTACATTTGGGATTGGGTTCCTTTCGGCATTAGATGGCCTCATCAATCTTCTGAAGCAGTATAGCAAATGAGAAGAGGGTAGCAGTGGATAGACAGCACCACCCCACCCTGCCCTGTTTTAATCACTGGCAAATAGTTTCATTGTTACTAGAGCAACACACAATAGAAAATGCTAACAACAAACATAGCCATTATGTGTCAGACACTGCTGTAAACTTCTCTCTATATAGTAACTCATCTAATCCTCATCATAATTTTCTGATGTAGACATACTCTTACTACAGATGAGGCACAAAGGGATACTTATCTTGCCCAACGTCATACAGGGGCAGAGTGGAATAGGGGAGTGTGCCATCTTTTACTCTCATGTAAACTATAATTTTTCTCCTTTTAATTTTGAAAAATTTCAAAACTACAGAGAATTTGAAGGACTAGTACAATGGACACTCATATATTTACTCTTTCTAAATCCAACAGTTACCCACATTTACCACACTTTATCTTCATTTGAGTGTGTGTGTGTGATATTTTCAAAGTAGTAGGCATCATGACATTTCAGCATCCTTAATTTAAAAAAAAAATCAAATCAGTGGTATACAGGACTTCTCAATCCTTTAGTTTAATACAGATACTAACACAGGACTTCACATTTAAGGGAAACCAACAAAAATTGAAACTGTGTGGGAAAGTAAAGTTAGTTCAAATGTCTAATAGTTAGCTGTATGTTCTGTACTTTATATTAAGTCCCCCAATTTTCAAGGCAAATATGATGTAGGTAATCTTATTACCCATTTTTACAGATAACCTCATACATAGAAAGGTCACTTGCCCAGGTCCCCCCAAGCAATATGTAGCAGAGCCCCATACAAACCTAGGCTGTTTGGTTCTGAAGTTTGAACTCTTTTTCATTTTGTGCCAAGGTAAACACTTTGAGGGGGGAAAGTCCAGATTTAAGAATTTTTGATAACAACCTTCCTTGTAATGGGCAAGTCAGATTAACAGGAAATATATATTTGGGTACCCAACTTAAAATTATTTTTAGTTTTGTTTGGTATTGCCTTTTTTTTTTTTTTTTAACCTATAACCCAAATCTAGACGGAACAGAAGGTGAGAGTGGAATCGGGGCAGGCGGAGGCGAGGGAAAGAGAAAAGGAGGGGATGGTCAGTCGCAGGATGTTGCCGGCGGCCCAGTGGTTTCTGGGAATTGTAGTCCCAGACTTCCAGGGCATTCTTGTTTAGGGCCGCGGGAGAGCCGGGCTGCGCTCCCAGAAGCCTCCGGTGCGGCTTTCTGGGAACGCACTTCCTGGGACGCTGAGGAGGAGACGCTCCAAGAGTCTCCTCAGTGTGGGCGAGTGAAATCCTCTGCATGTGAGAAACAGGTAGGTGTGGTCAAGAATGTTCCCCTTTCTGTGTCTTTTGCGTAAGTAGTTGAGGGTTTTATGTAAAATAGCTAAATTGAGAGGAATCAGGGACATTGAAAAACGCTGACTACACTTGTGGACGTGAAAATTGAGTGAGGAGGTATTTGATGAAGCTTTACAAAATTATTTTCTACACAGGAGTATGGAAATGTCGAAGTTTGTTGCCGGGGCAGCTAAGGGCTGCGAGCTTGGCTGGCCTAGGCGTGCATGGAGCTGCAAGTTGCTATTTTTGAATAACCAGCTGATGCTGGTTGTGTAATGATGACCTGCTTGCGGTTCAAACCCACTCAGTGTTGCAGGGATGGGCTTGCTCTGAGAGCGTCAATAGTCGCTGTTGGAGTGTCTTTCCATTGGCTCTATCCAGGAGGGCTTTTTTTTT